GTGCTGGTAATGTACAACATCCATGGGAGGGGAAGCCAAAGTAAAATTGTAGGAAGTAGCTTGCGATGTAGTGGTGAAGAGATGCTGATCATTAAAATATCATCATCATCATCATCACCACCACCACCATCATCTTCCAGAACAATCATGTAAGGTTGATGGACCACTTCCTTGACATTATGTTTTGGTAAGTATGTGTGTGTGTGGGATGGCACATTTCAGATACTGCTTTGAATAGGAGGTCACTTTGGCAGGGTAGACCAATTTGGGCCAGGCCTTCTCTATGGCAGATTTGGAAAACCCAAGGTTTTGGATGTCTCCACAAGGGCTTTAACTTCAAAAGAATAATGGTGGGAGAGAGCCATACTAAAGCCATTTCCTGGTTGGAAGCAAGAGCTCCGTCACAAATCTACCCCCATTTCTGTCTGATCCCTCTTAGAGCTTGAGGGGGAAATGCATGCATTTTAAACAGTTTGTGTTGGGAGTAGATATTTCTGCATACTTTTGGGATGCTTTGGTTTGCGAATCATCAGAAGCAAATGCACAGTTTGCACCTCTTTAAAAGCCTGTGATTAGTCATTTACTTTCAAAATCAAACTCTAACTGGCATTAAAATTTTAAATCAACATTCAGCATACATAAATGATAGCTTTCAGGTGACACTGAAAGACATACATAATTTTTCACAGAGAAATGATCTTAGTATGTGACTGGATTTTCCAAAAGATGACAGGGTATCCAGCACTTTTATATTGAGTGGGAAATGTACTTATTAAAACTACATGCATTACAACTCCTTGGAAAGATGCTTAAAATAAATTCAAAGAGTTCCCCCTTGAATAATCCACATGCATTTAATTACACAGTCCCCCTTTTATTCTTGAAGCAGGTATCTCATCTGCAGCTATAGATACCGTATTTTTCCATCTATAAGATGCCCCCATGTATAGGACGCCGCCCCAACTTTTCTTACCCAAAATTCAGAAATCATTATTTTAAACACTAAATAGAAGACATTTTTATTTAGTGATTAGGCAACATTTACATATCAGTACTATGATATTATGCATCACACTTAGCTCTGAGCAAATCACTTTATTCAACTTGCATTGTATCACTGCTGTCTGCTGAGTCACTGTCTATATATATGAGATCATCCTCAGTTCCGTCCATGGCATTGCTGATTCCACATTTCTTGAAAGACTTCACAATCACCTCTTGTTTGACGCCAAGGAGGAGGTCCAAACTGTCTCTCTGCATCTCTGTTTCCATGCTCTTTTGCATAACTGATTACATCCAGTTTAAATTTTGCAGAGTAAGACATTCACTTATCGATACCGGTACTTACTTTTTTTTGTTTTCTGACATTTTTATGGGATCAGAACGCTCCGACATTACCGCTCCCAGTCGCATCTGGGCACTGGCTGCACACACTCTGCAGCATCAGCTGACATCAGTTACATAAGGCTCATGATTAGAGGAAACCTATTAGCTTGTCTCTGCAATCGGAAGTTTGCAGAGATAAGGTATCAGCAATTTCGCAAGTGCGGTTCTCCTCCCCCCAGGTATGAGACGCCCCTCCATTTTTAGGTAAATATTTTTAAGAAATATACACAGAAAAATACTGTAAGTATCCTGAATAAAGGAACAGGCTCTGGGGGTCTTAGTCTGAACCATACATCTAGAGTGGGGGAGAAGAAAGAGGAAATGATTTGTTGTACATCAAGCCAATAACACAGACTATGAAGCAAGGAAGCAACAGCTGTAATGTAACTACTCGTAGCCAGTCAGTCCTTCAACAGACAACAGTGGCTTGGATGCCAAGAGTGGAAGACATTTCCACTCTCTCAAGGAATGCTGTGATTTCCTCCTTTTCCAATTGCATCTCCTGCTCACATAGCCCCTACTGCATATTCTCCCCCAAAGTAGAAAAGGTTATTTCAAGTCCCCAACCAGGAATCTAGACTGAAAGAGTTCCAAATAATCAATATTCCATTCAAAACAGTCTTGAGTTGTGAGGCTTCTACCCTCTGCAATGCTTTGCTCAAAGAATTATATACTGGGTGAAAATTATGCAAAATAATAATTTTCAAATTTGTTTATTTTCAGTGAAATACTATTGCCTTTTAAATACTCTCCTTCAAGAAGGCATTAACTACCCACAAGGTCTATCTGAAAAGCCTAGCCCTAAGCCTAACCCTGGCCAACAACTGGTAGGTCAAGGATCCAATCAGCGAGCAGTAATCCCCCCCCCCCCAAGAGTTTATCTACATCTTCAGCCTAGGCAAACTTTAAAAAAAAATGCATCCATAATATCATGAACAAGCAGTGTCCCAGCATCTATCTTTGTGATTGCAATTATTGAAGCAGATGCAACAGAGTTAATCCACCAAATATAATGTGCATTGGTCACTGCAGGCTTCTGAGGTTTCACCAGGTAATCATCTGGGTTCATGTGAAGGAGATTCGTCAGAAGAGCTGTGAAGACACAATGACAGCCAGGGCAGAAAGCCTCCCTCAATATCACCCCCTCCGAACAGGACTTAAAATGGCTTCTACCCCATGTTTGAACTTGTACTCAAGTTTCTGATAGATGCATTCCAACTGTCAACTAAGTCTTTTCATTGCCTTCTAATATGTCAGAAGGGGGCAACATGGCTCTACATTCACTGGAAGTTGTTTGGAAGTGGTTGTATCAGTGTTCTGAGTCTTTCATACCCAGTAGAAATCGAGACCCTGGCAAGACCATCAGCCAAAATCACAGGACACTTTTCCGAAAAATGCAGACAGACCTTTACAAGCAGAGGAGTGGGAGGTGAACTGCCAGGGTTCTCTCCCTCCCTCCAGAAACTTACTTGCTGGGTGACTCAGATGTTTATTAATGCTGCTGTCAATGCCTGGAGTGAGTGGGGTTCATTGGCGCTTCTGAGCAGACCTGCCTCATCTCTGTTTCCTCCTTCTGATGTATTTTTAATTTGCTAATTAATGAAGAGCACAGGCACAGAGAGCACTCTTCTTGGAAGCTATGCCAGGTTTCCAAATTTGAGCCTAATCTGGTACCACAGAACTAATCAGGAACCCAAGGATTAGTGTTCAAGGTCAGGCTGTGAATAGCCAATCAGTAGAGATCATGGACTGTATTGGGGGTGGGGGGGGGCTTTTCTTAGACCCCCCATCTCATTAATTCATTCAATTATATTTCTATCCAGCATTTTTCTTTTTTAAAGAACTCAGAGCAGCTTACATCATTCTCTTGCTCTCAATCTTATCCCCACAACAACATTGTGAGATAGGTTGGGCTGTAAGTCTGTCACCGGCCCAAAGTCACCCAGTTGGCTCTATGGCTGAGCAGAGACTACCCAGATTGCCTTAGTTCCAGTCCCACACTTTTAGCCACTACACCACACTGGCTCTCTTGCCAGTTTTCTCCTATTTTTTGTACTGTTTTCTCTATCTGTGTTTCGCATTCTTTTAATCTGGTGTCCTGAGGTGCAGGAGGATCTCCCAAGATCCTCCAACTATTATTTTATCCTTAATGTTTTGATCTACTTTGTGTTCATGATACTGTTGTTAACTTGCTTTGACTTCCTTTTCTGCACAATGGATTGCTGTGGTGAATTCAAAATGCCCTCTGCTTGGTGGGCATGACCTCAAAGATCAATTGTCTCAGTTTCCCTTTTCTTTGCAATGGGTTGCTATCTTAATTCTGCATAAAAGGTAAAAGTTTCCCTGTGACATTCAAGTCCAATCATGTCTGATTCTTGGGGGTGGAGCCAGCATTTGTCCACGGACAGTTTGGACAGCATGACTAAACACCATGGTGCACGGAATGCTGTTACCTTCCCAACAAAGTGGTACCTAGCTATCTACTTGAATTTATATGCTTTCAAACAGCAAGGTTGGCAGCAGCTGGGACCAAGCATGGGAGTTCACCCTGTTGTGCAGATTCGAACTGTCAACCTTTCGATCATCCAGCCCAGCAGCTCAGCAGTTTAAACCACTGCGCCACCCACAGTCCCTAACTCTGCATACAGTGACCTTTCAGTTGTACTCAACCCCATCAGCGCCAGTCTCACTGATTCTCATTATTCTTACTCTTACAACATTACCTTTATATCCTGCCCTTTTTCCTCCCAAGGCAACTTCTATAGTCATCCTCCACTCAATTCATAAGAACCCAGTGATGTAGGTTCAGTTGATAGTGACTGATCCAAGTCAACCTGAGAACTTCAAATAGTTCCTCCAACACCCTTATGGAAGGAAACAGCATGAAGACCAAATCTAAACTAATAGTGACCTGCCCATGAAAACTGAATCTTTCACCCACACATCTCTGTCCCACAATCTACAACAGAACACCAGATCTAGAGGATGTCTTATCACATATGTTGGATTTGATTATAATTTGGGACAAGGTCATGGTTGTCAGATAGCTGCTTCTGTTAAGCTGGCTTTGACATATATGTTGAAATCCCCCAAGACCATGGAATTTTCAATACCATTTCTGAGTCTACCTCAGTGAACATGGGCTCAACCTATGGTTAAGAATTTCAATCCTATCTCAAGTTCCCAGTCCCTATTTCCCAATGTACACAATTGAACAGGAAGATGGAATTCTACAAACCACAGCCACTTTGCCTTCCTAATCTGCCAAGCTGTATCCAGTGCATTTGATATTTTTGTGCACATGACAGGGTGAGATATACATCTCGCCTTTCATTCAGCCTGGTCAGCTTCCCTGCTACTTTAATTATTTGCAAGTTTGACCTTATTTCTGACTACTACTGTGTGATCAGACAAGAATTAATGTGGAGTGTAGTTCATATGGCAACTGGAAAATAGAAAATGTCATGTGCTAAAAGAGCCAGTGTGGTGTGTGCATTTTAGGCAGAAATATTTCTTTCACTAGCACAACTATGCTGTGTTGGGGCAGCAAGATTTGTCTTGTTTCCTTCCTGAATGTTCACAGGTTATTTGGCATTCCATTGAGCTATAAATTATACCCATATGCTCACACCAAAGGAGTTTATTTAAAAGGAGTTTAGGGTGGGTTAACCACATGCACAAACCAACCTGAAAGCAGAGAGAGAGACTTCTTTGTACAGCAGTCCTTTAAAGATACTCCATTTGGCTTCTTCTCACTTGTGAAGTGTTGAGTTGCTCCAAGATTGCATGTGGTATTTCACAATGAAGGGGACCATCATCTGTTTCATATTTTTTATCAGTTTCATGGCAGGCTTAGGTCAAAATCCAAGGCCAAAAAAAAGGAGCAACAATGAAGAGATTAATTTTCAGACAAGAGTTAAAGATGCCTGCACAATGACTGTGAATGGAAATGGTGAAATGAAGCTAAGAATAGAATGTAGGAATCAAGGCAAGACTTACTGGTGTGAATACACTGGCAAACCATCAGTTTGTCATTCTTTTAATAACAATCCAAGGATTTTCTGGAATCAGATTGCCATGGAACTAAGGAAACGGATCAACGCCTGCCACCCCAATCTGGTTCTGAAGCCTCCCATGTGCCAGAAGGCTTCTCCCGAAGCACACATGAAGCAAGTTGCCTTCAGCATCAAGCCAAATCCACGTCCTATCCAACAAGCAGATATTGGCAACCAGGCAAAGATGGTCCAAAAACAACTGCCGTCTTCAAAGCAAATTAAAGAAAGCCAAGCAGGGAAAGGTTTCCTTAAAAAGTCAGGGAAGCCCAAACCATCTTCTCTACCTGCTATAAAACCAACCCAGCAAGGCCCAGGCTCTGAAATCGATTCTGAAGCAATGAAGCTAGCACGGGAGCACTGTTGGGAGTCCCTGCATAATGTCTGTTCCTACATCATCAGCATCTTTAGAGGCTGAGGAGGAAAAGGTAAATTTGTCTCTATTATATTCTGATACAGTCCTGTATCTCTAGAAGACAGGTTCCAGAGGTACAGCTTGAGCCTAAGAGCAAAAAAAAAAAAAAAAATGGAATGGCAAGGCTGGTATTAGTATTATTAGTCTTAATAGCAGTAATCTATTTCTATCCTACCTGTTCCCAATGACTGGGACTCAAGGCTGTACATACTGTAAAATGTTAAGAAAATCCAATAGCAGATGTATAGGTACACTCCAGCTAAATTAAGTGCATCTATGTCCAATTTATTTTAAGAGGAAACATTGAACTGAATGCTCAATTCTCACACTGAATTCAATCTGCCTTAGCTTTAACTGGACCATACCCTTTAATTAATTAATTAATTTCTATACCACCCAATAGCCAAGAGCTTTCTAATGAGATAAATATTTTCAACAAATGGTTTTAATTATGTCATTTAATTTCTCTTCAAGTTATGCATATAAGTTTATTAACTGGTATTATGCTAATATTTCTACAGAACATTTTCTAATGAGCTATCCTACCTAAGTATTTAGAAATCTTTGCTCTCAGGTTTATAATAATGTAACTAGGCATGCAAGTTTTTTGACAGATGAAACAACTACAGCTGACATTGTGCAATTCAGCCAATCACTTAGAATGGTCAATAGTCCTATTTTTCAAGCAGTGGGCAGCCTGTTGATATTGGAAAAGCTGGTCAGCACTTTAAATGGGGAATTTAAACAAACACTTGGATGGATGGAGACAATAGTGATGGGTTTTAAAACCTTTACTTGGTATATTTGAGAACTGAACATTGTTATATCTTTTGGAAACTGGAGTTCCTGTAATACGGAACAAGAGAGGCACTATTTCCTTCTAACAATCATAACTGTTTTGTTAAGTTTTCTTTTCAGTGTCTTGAAAAGCACTTCAAGAGTTTGTGATGATATGCATATTTGTTTAGTCAATCAGCAAGGCAGATGATGAATCATACAAAATGTATTTAACAGTTGAAACCCCTAATTTTAAGGCATAAAGCTAAATGGAAAGTATCAAATTAATGTAAAAAACTAGTGTGTATAAAACAATACTGCTGGTAATGAAACAGTGGGGGAAATGGGTTCAAAGTAAAGTTCAACCATGGACTTTGTATGTCCCTGGCTAAAAATATCCCTCAGTATTCTGTCATTGAAGCAAATTGTTTTATTTATTAAATTTTGGATCACCTAATAATGAATGTTCTCTAAGTCTAGTACATTCAGAAAAACACAGAAGTAAATCTTTTCATGAGGGGATCATCTAAATGGAAAACTTTGATCTGCAGGCTTAAGTGACTCATGGAACCATGAGTATCCATGCTTGAAGATGCACTGGAGACAAATGTGAGAGTCTTGAACTATTTAGAAGTTTGTGGATAGATATCATGTGTGAATGTTATACAGTCACATATAAATATATAACATCAAAAAATAAATAATGAAACCTTTGTAGAACATTTTAATATTTATTGTGCTAATGTTATGGAATGTTTTAATTTGAAAATTATATTAAATATCAGTTCCCTAGAACATGAAAAGTGGTGTCAAAGACAATAATATTTAATGGTAAAAACTTACTTGGGAGCTTAAATTTTTATGTACAGGATGAGCCAAAAGCAGGTATATAGTACTGAATGGGTCATGGAGGACCTCACACAGTGGATGAGTTGAAGGAGTTCATTTTGCAAGCATTTATCAACATTAGCACTAAACAGAATTTGTGCTGAATTTGTTGAATATGTTGAATGTACTATATGAGTATGTAAAGCCCCTGCTAGTGAAAATGTTCACTCTGCTGTTGACAATCCATAGAATTCATGTTAAGTATCTGTGTGCAACTAGTTCATATTGAGGCATGTTTCTGTTAAAGCTCTTATTTTTAGTAAACTTTCTAAATTATTTCTTGTTTTACAGGGCAAGAATGTTACGTTGAAGAGTTCCGACCAGCTTACTTTTTCAGCTGGGTTTAGATATGACTCCTTCCCCTTTATACCTGGGATTTTTAACAATAGTTTTTTAAAAGAAGTTACCATCCCTTGAAACACTGTAGTAGGGGAAGGTGACTATGGAAGTTGTTTAAACTGTACTTTAACTTGTACTGTGTGGTCACATTCATTGCTTATGGAAACTCCAAAATAGGAGTTATAAATATTGCTCTGGTCTATACAGTGAATTTTAAAAATCAAACATGCTTTTCTGTTTCTTGTTTCTGATGGGCTCTAATAAATCCAGCTCTCACTGCAGAAGAATCTCTTCAGTTCAAGTGCTAAGAGGTATCCCAAGCAAGGCTTAAGGCAAGGAAGACATACGCTACAAAAAGAGGGACAGAATAATATTCAGTTGTAACTATGCTGGTACAGCTGATGCTGAAATATCTACCTATATTAAGATGGATCTGTGTTCTACTTAAGGGAATAGGTTTTTTGTTTTTTACTCTTGGGGCACCATGGGATATTGGGGATTTCTGAAGTACGCGTAGGACATCTGTCCCCTTTAACCTGCCCCCATGCAGCCAGATGACCTCTGAGGTTAGGAAAGCCATGTTGGAGAGGGGGCATTTAAGTGGACTGGGGCAGCAGGGAGGCAGCAAAGCCAGGAGACAGGACAAGCATCCAAAAATTCTGGGTGCTCTCAATACAACTGTGCCCATGTTCACTACATGCAGTGAGAGCTGCTATTGTGCGGCTTCTTCCTGTGATGTTTCGAATCTGTTGGATGAAAGCCACACTGTGGCTCCTTTCTGTGCCAATAGTGCCCTGAAAACACTGTCTTTTGGTTTGAAGGAAATACTGAGGAGGTCATCCAACAGCACATAACATATGGAGCTCAGAGGGGGCATGCTAGAAGTGGCCCAACTTGTTTTTGTCCAAACACACATAGGATTGCATCCAAAATCTGGCATTCCATACATAACTGAATCAGCAAAGACACATGGAAGGATTGCATTATTCTCCCCACCCCGCAGAAAGCAATCCTCAGCCAAATATTTTTGGTTACATTTATATTCCTCATTGAATGCTTTGTGTGAATGTGAGAACAGCATCCTTGCTTTGAATAAACTGATACTAGAGTTCTGAGTGCAATCTGGCTAAATTAAGCTCTTAATTGTTCCATGGGACTGGATCCCAAGAGGTAGTGAACAGAAGGATAATGGCAATTTGCACAGTTTTGTGAAAGTTTATACATAAGAGTAATACAATTGTGCTGTTAAGAGAATAGCCATGTCCATGCTTCCGCGTGCCTAAAGTCTGAGCAAGGGGATTTTTTTAATTTTTTCCCATGCAAGAATCTAGTGTGTAGAATAGCCTCTGTGTGAGCAGAAGATGCTTTCCACAGACAGAAGTTTTTGATTCAACCTATTCCTTGCAGCATGAAATCAATGAGACCATGTTACAAGTACTTAACTGTCTTGGATCATAACTAAATTTTTACAACTTGGATCTGCCTTCTGCCATCCCCATCCAAAATTCCTCCTGCCTGCCAAAAGTACACTGCAGTCTGTTTTTCTTAGTGTAACTGACTGCCTTCCTAATTTCCTTTGGATAACACCAAGCTTTCTTTGGCTAGCAGACACAGTGACTTGAACTGTACACTGCAGCCACTTGTCTTCTGTATGAATGCAATTCTAGGGCTAAGAAGCTGTGTCCATAGAAATGAAAACCTACCTGCTGCCCCCTTGCCTACTTCACACTGGCCATTTCTTTTTCAGCAATAGTAAGCAAGTTAAAATAATGGTAAAGTGGCTGCAGGAATTACACATACGTTTCTGCAAAAGGAAGATAAATCAGTCCAAGAAATTTGACTGACAATCATATGCTACAGACCATATGCATCTGCAATTCCCACTGTGTTAAAGAAAACCAATTTATTCCTTAAGTACTTCATACACAAACTGAAAATGTATTAAATCTAATGGAAGATTCCCACTGAGTGTGTATTACTTGCTATGCTGATATGCCACCTTTCCATCAATGCACTTGAAGCAATTTGCAGTAATGGCATTCAGTCTAATAGACTTGATGCAAAAGGGGGAAAGGGATGATGAGACAACAGAACAATGAGCAGATATGGGTACCCATCCTTACACAGAATGGTAACAAATGGAAAGAATTGGCCTGCCAAGCCCCTAACAACCTATCATGTCTGGAGGGCTGGTTCAGATCTGTGGGGGAAGGGGGTAATGAAGTGAGGTGAAACTATATATCAGTGTTTAAGAAGGAAAAGAAAACAAGACACCTGCAGAACTGTGACCCTTTCCACAGTTTACGTAGTCACAAAATGGTCTGATTTGAGGCAGGCAACCATCTAGCATCATATAACACAGCAGGGGAAAGCTTGAGGATAGGAGGAAACAGTAATTCTGAACACACAGACGCACACACAAAGGGCACTATAAAGCTTCTGCACCAAGTGTGGCTGGAGTTATGGATGTGATTATTTATTAGAAACTGGAGATACACCATAGCATTGAGTTATAAAGACCTAATTGTTCCTCCTAATAGTGCATGCCAAGCATTCAATCAGTTTAAAAACAATATAGGGTCAACTGAAAAATACAAGTGCATATTTTTCTGGGGAACTCCCCAGGTATACAGAAGTATGTATTCATAAATTAAAAATATGGGATATTTTAAATGGCCTAATAAGCACCTTTGAGGTCCTGGGGCATGCAGAGCACTGAAGAAAGGGTCTGTGCTCTGCAGGCCTTCTTGACATGAGGCATATAACCATTGCTTCATAGAGGTTTCTGCTTCTATACACTCTGCAGAAGAATTAGGGCATCTTTCACATAAGATTTTTACCAGCTTGGGAGGTGGGAGTTCTGCCTTTCTATATATTCTATTACACAACACAGGGCAACAGAGCAGAATTGTAGCAAATATTGGTGCCTTCTAGGAAAATACCAGATTTTCCTTGCTTTAAAAAGAGCCATGAGAATGGCTGGAAAAGTTGAAAGAGGT